TTAGTTATTAAATTTGGGCATCATATTTTAAAAAAAAAGACGGAAATTATAAGGCGTTATTTGCAATGGTGTAACCGCCAGGGAATCCAGAGCCTTCAGGAAAAAATGAAAATTAGTTATTAAAAGGACAATTGAACGTCTGCAGATGTTCATTTATAAGGGCGACTCCTAGGCTACCCAGAGACCGATTCCAACACAGGGTTACAAAATGTGGTAAAGGGCTCTTTAAGAAACATTTGCAATATCTTTATTATTTTTTTCCATCGCTCTCGCAATAAACCTACATAGTGCTACCTCAGTACCCTAAGTATGTACACCGAAACGAAAGTACCTACACACAAGTTCTACTTTAAGCTGACCAAGACCTATTGTCGCTGCTCTAGACTTCTACCACTTGCAGTCCAATAAAATAAATAACAAAGGCCATATACAAATTTCAATTCGCTACCTCGCCTACTACCATCTAGTGAATGCAATCTTGAGTCGAGATCTCACTTGATTAGAAATTACAATCTCACGTCTCGGGTAGCTTTCGAAAAAAAAATATTATTTATATTGGATAATTAGAAAGAAATGAAAGCTACTAACATAACATGTGATTATGAGGTTGATCGACACTGTGGCACCACGGTGAGTAAACTATTGCAAAAAGCTACTCCTTGTTTCCCCAACACTCATATACATCTATCATCATCACATCTATAAAAAATGGAGCACAATAGTTTATAGCTTGGTTTATAGTGATTTATCTGGTAGAATATGTTAATTTATTTTCCGTACACCATGATGGTAGAAGGGTTTTGATTATAATAAATAATAACGTTACAATTCTTGTTGTTTATTCCATATTATGCTGTAAAGGATCATGATGGTTGTTGGGGCTATAATGTAAATGGAATTCACAGTGATGACCGAAGGCTTTATTCATTTCGAGTGCGTTAAATCAAATTCAAATTTAAGCGCGCTTGCGTATGTGCAGTACCGAGGGAGTCAATGTGCATCACATCTGCAAGTCAAGCAGCCATCGCATCGGCAATAAGGTGATTTTTTTAAATTTTTAGATATAATAAGTAGCCACAACCGTCATCGACTGGCTGGTTACCATAACAACTCATGTGATATTTACTTTTATTGTAATTATTATTTCATAATAGTCTGTGGAAGCATTTCACAATTTGCAATTTAAATTTTACTGGAAATAATAAAATTATCCTTTTTCTCATTTCTAGAGTAGATTTTGCACCACAGCGCCATCTCTTTCGTTTCGCATCAAACGTCAAGTTGATAGATTTGGGTTTGGCGATTTTGAAAAAATCTCAAATCATCCGCCCGATAATATTACTTTTTGCAAAACTTAAGACATTTCCGAAATAATGACGGCCCCAACTGCCTCTGGAGATGGATATAAAAGTGCTAGTGTCGCGTATAAAGATAAAAGTAAACCTACCGATATACGATTGAGCAATATCAATGCCGCTAAAGGTAAATAAACGTCTTTACTAATTGTTACTAACTTTTGTAATGCATGGCAAGTAATTTTACACTCGATACGCGCAATGAATTCATTGCATTTTGTTGTCGAGCAATTGAGCTATATTAAAATGGTACTTAAAATTTCAGCTGTCAGTGATGCGATTCGTACTAGTTTGGGACCTCGAGGAATGGACAAAATGGTAAGTTGGTCAGTTATCAATGCTTCTCTTACAGTAGTTGTTCAGATTCAAGCGGGTAATGGCGAAGTGACAATAACAAATGACGGTGCTACGATTTTGAAACAAATAAACGTCATACATCCGGCTGCGAAAATGGTAAGTCGTGTTCTTGAGATTTGTATTACGGATTGTGGTTTCAGTTAGTAGAATTGTCACGTGCTCAAGATATTGAAGCTGGTGATGGTACCACGACTGTTGTCATTATTGCTGGAGCATTACTGAACGCTGCCGAAAAACTCCTGGCCCGTGGTATTCATCCAACTGCCATCTCTGAGGCTTTCCAACGAGCATCTACACACGCAGTCGAAGTACTGTATTTCTCCCAAAGTCAGTTTTAATCAGGTTCTTTGTAGATTTTAACCAACATTTCTACGCCCGTTGAGCTTCAAAATCACGAGCAGCTGGTAAGAAGTGCATCTACCTCTTTAAATTCCAAAGTGGTCTCGCAACAATCGAGTTTACTTGCACCTTTAGCTGTAGAGGCTGTACTTAAAGTGGTCGAACCCGGTTCGTTACCTATTACTTATTCGTGTTTGTTGCTCATAGATTGTTACAGGTCGTGAAGGAGCTGTGAATCTCTCAGATATTAAAGTGATCAAACAACTGGGCGGAACTGTTGAAGATACCGAACTAATTGACGGAATCGTATTTTCGCAGAGGGCCGCCAACTTAAACGGGCCCAAACGTATTGAGAAGGCTAAAATTGGTTTTATCCAGTTCTGTATTTCGCCCCCGAAAACCGATATGGATCACAATGTTATTGTGTCCGATTACGCAGCAATGGATCGCGTACTGAAGGAAGAACGCGCTTACATACTCAACATTGTTAAGCAAATTAAGAAGGCAGGCTGCAACGTTTTATTGGTAAGTTGCAGTGTACAGTGGGGAAATGGTAATAATTTTCTGTCCATTTTGTTTTATAGATTCAAAAATCTATACTTCGAGATGCAGTCTCTGATTTAGCACTCCATTTCTTGGATAAAATCAAGGTGTTGGTTATTAAAGATGTGGAAAGGGAAGACGTTGAATTTGTGTGTAAATCACTTAATTGTCGTCCAATCGCTTCTTTGGATCACTTCACTTCCGAGAATTTGAGCAGCGCTGAATTAGTGGAAGAAGTGGGAATAGGCGGAAATCGTCTAATAAAAATCACAGGCGCCCAGAATGCGGGCAAGACTGTGACGCTTTTAGTACGTGGCTCTAATAAGTTGGTGTTGGAGGAGGCGGATCGTTCCCTTCACGATGCTCTGTGTGTAGTACGCTGTTTGGTGCGCAAACGTGCGTTAATCGCGGGCGGTGGTGCTCCAGAAATCGAAGTTGCATTAAAACTAGCTGCAATTGCCGATCAGACAGAGGGCGTCGATTCAATTTGTTTAAGAGCATATGCAAATGCCCTGGAAATTGTTCCATTCACTCTGGCCGAAAATGCAGGGTTAAATCCAATACAGACCGTTACAGAGTTACGTAACAGACATGCCAAAGGTGAAACATCAGCGGGAATTAACGTACGCAAAGGCGCTATATCTGATATATTAGAAGAACATGTAGTACAACCATTGTTGGTGTCAATCAGCGCTATGACATTGGCCACCGAGACTGTGCGGTCCATATTAAAAATTGATGACATTGTAAGTATAATGAATTTATTTCTATTAATCATGCATTGCGTTTTTAGGTTAACACCTACACATAAAGCCTGCGAGTGCGTGTATTTATTAATTTTTGTTCAATCACAGCTTTCCGTTCTATGTATTATTAACTGAAACTATGAAACTAATAAACGCTTTTATAAAAACTTTATTTATTGAATATTACAAAATTACTCCCTCGGTGCCCCATATGCATCTGGCATTCTTTCAATTGTGTACCTGTGTTGAGCAACGTACATAATTGGGACACCTGGAATTTTTCGTATACGTCTTTTCAAATCTTTGTCATTTGTAGCAACTATATAGCACTTGTGTTGTGTTACACGCTGCACTAAACAATCGTCGGCGTATGTTCCTTTGTGCATACAATGTATTCGTTCAAAACGAGGATCTTTGATTATACGTAAGGCCACCTTGTACTTCTGCCCTAGTTTTTCTAATTCCCCCAACACACAATCGGTTATATAAGGTACACATTTTGCATACAAGCAGTCCATCATACTTTGAATTATATCCAGTTTGTTTTTAATGGAGAAGTTAATAAAGTTCGTATCTATCAATATATGATAAGGTGGTCCCAGTTGGGTGTTATATTGAAAGAAGAGGGCAGAACTTGCTTGCGGAGCTTCGTTCACTTTTAAAGCGTGCGGGTCCTCCTTTTTCTTATGTCGAGGGGGTGCTCTTTGGGATGCTTTAATTCGTGGATCGCTAGGACTTATCATTGCTTTCATTTTAGCGAATCGTTTTTCCGCAATTTTCCGAGTTTTTCTCGCTTTACCCTTAAGAAAAACGTCGATTTGTCAACAATTAATACCTTTTTAAAAAACTTACCATCGCTCAAATGTTATGGTTCACTTTGAGGTTAGTATGAATTTCGCCTTTGAGGTTAGAAATTTATATGAATTTTGAACTCATCTATAATGTGGCAAAAGCTATACTACGTAACTTTTTTCCGACATTTCGTTTGGCACCACGGATAAGTATAGGAAATTTAGATTTCTTGAAATAAGTCCTTCAATTAGACATAAAGACTCATGAAAATGTCTTTTATGACCAATTTTACCATTTTCGTATTTCTTTTAAACTGGTAGTTAATCGGTGCCCGAGTCATTGATTTATGAATCAATTTCAGACATACTCAAACATACGTTACAACACTGTAACATCTGTCAAGTGTGCGAAATTGATCAAAAACTTGTCTGAAATTGATTCACAAATCAATGACGACGGAGCGCAGATCCGTGGCTACAAGTATATAGTAGGGATATTTAAGAACATAAGGATATCCGTCACTCCTCGCTAAAACTTGTAGCACGTCCACTTTTATTGATTCAAAAAGGACCTGTTAATGCTTGTAGGCAAGATGGCATATAGATAGTTGGAAAATATAGCAAAGGCTACAAGTTCCTTTAACAATTACCGAAGTTCGTTGTCTGTTCCACCCAAATATCACCCTTCATTTTCATATACGTTTTCCTAGCTAATAACATAATATAAGGCGAGATGTAAGGTATTGCTTACTTACTATTAAAGGTTGAAAAAAGGACATTATTTTCAAAATTTCATAAAATCGCACGGACAGAACTTCGACTTCGACCGCAGTACAATTCGAAAAAAGAAACTATTGTATTTCGACTTACCCTCGAGAATAATTCTTCTGCACACATCGTATGATAGGGTCATTTGGGCACTCTGTAACAAAAAAAACGATCAAAATTACTATAGATTTTGAATATTACATTAACAGGCGAAACCGGCGTTTTTATTTTTTTACGCGACGATAAAAGACTTTTGAAAACAAATAATTAACACTCGCTTTATCTACAGTCCTGGAAAATTTGTTGCGCCCATTCCAAAACGATAAAAGTCGTTAAATTCTTTAAATTTTGTCAAAGCACTCGGATCAAGTGAAAAATACTGTGATTAATACTTATAACTCTGATAATGGCGTCAGGAATAGCACACAATATTAGAGTATAATGATCAGGTAAGAAACGTTTTGATAGAGCTAAGAAGAAAATCCAATTTTTACCACCCGCACGTTTGTAAGGGAGGTATTGCATGGGAGTAACAAATCAAACAAAATCGCGATTATGTTGGTCTGTCTGTCTGTACTCTCATTTCCAGCTAAACAGCTGAACCAATTGACACACAAATTTGGTACCTACACATATTCTTAAAAAGTTTTTGAGTAAAACTGCGGATGCCCGAGTGGGTCATGCTAACCACAGAAAATTTGCTTTTAACTAAAGATCGAGCAACATCACGGTGGGCCTCCAGTTCAACATCTAGTAATAAAACGTGCCCACATCTACTTTTAGTCTCTTCCTCACTTCACATAACGCCCATTCTCGACCATGACAGCTAATATGCACTCAGGTGTCGAAAAAAACAGCAATATAACCCCAAATAGAGACAGTACCTACTACCTAGAGAATTTTGAAGGTGTCTACAAGACATACGTTGCTTGGAAGACTGTGAAAAGCACATTAGCAGAGTATGATGACGTTAAATGCAGCATGGTGACACCTAGCCTTTTCTGTGTCACACTTGGCTGCTTAGGCATAAATTTTTTTCTTGCCATCTTTTCAGCCAAAAGCTCTGAAGGCACCAAGAGATGCACAATCAGAGTCAAAAGGCTTTGATGGCGTTTATAACGTTATAATGGAGAACGACTAAGGTGGTTAATCAAATGATGCCTTAAAATTAGTTTTAGCACAATTTTCACCATTAAACAAACATATTCGCTACCCACTTCTCAAAGCAAAGATCATACTTATGGTTAATTTTATTACACAAAAACGGTTCATTCAATAACGTTAAAATAAAATTTGTCATTCCTTAAAATTCACAGCAATTTAATACAGGAGTTTCATATAACTGACTAGAGTTTAAAATATAAGATAAAAGCGACGGTTGGGGTAAAAACCAGTCAACGCCAAGGCGCCCACTGTTTGGATTTATCGGTGAGTGGTACATAAATAACCCCCATAAGTGGTGTACGTCTTATGCTGCCATCTTCTAGTTTATCAATTTGTTCGAGTTGTTGATCTCCTCCTGCGGGGCCTACAGGTACGATTAAACGTCCGCCAATCTACAACGGTATCTCCATTATTAGTGCGCAAACTCTAATTAGCTACCTTTAATTGATCGATTAATGGTTGTGGTACTGTTTGTGCAGCCGCACCTACGTGTATAGCATTATAAGGTCCCAAATCGGGCACACCAAGTCGACCATCGCCTACTTTTAAGACTACACGATTTGAATCTAACAAATCCTTGTTATTCTTTTCAATATTTCTTAGCGCGACTGTTACCAACTCTGGAATATGCTCTACACCAACTGCCAAACTGAAAGGCAAAATATAAACCTTGCTCTCGAAAATGTATGATTTTTACCCAGTTTTGCCAAGCATAATCGCCATACATGACGTAAGATAACCACTACCGGAACCGACATCGAGAGCTTGTTCGCCTTCAACTAACTTATCTTTTAACAACTCTAGAGCGTGTGCGTGCATATGAGGAGCGCTAATAGTGACACCATACCCGATACCTTGTGGTGCGTCCATGTAAGGATTATTTAAACAAAAATTACCACGATCCACCCCCAACATCGCACTCTCCACCGTATCACTTTTAATAATGCCATTTGCTTAAATTTGTTTAATTAATTCTCATTTCCTTTTATTGGAAACCATACCTCTTAATTGTTGTACCATGTCAGAGTTCGACTTTCCGTGGGATCTCCACGCCATCATAATTAATTGGTAAACCAAAAATAGATTATTACGCATTAATCGTAAATAATAGGATTACATTAACCAAACCATAACCAACAATATAATTTTCATCGCAAATCGCCCATTTTGAAAATTTCCATTGACACTGACAGCGCTAAGATGGAGCCACCTTTCAAACGGGGCTACCAATCTAACAGGATGACCAACATTAACGAAACTATGTACAGGGTCTGTCAGCTACCATTGTGCAGTAAAGTGAGTTTTTTACTCAGTAATTAAGCAACGACGGAAAGTAATAGATCTCTTCTAATATACGAATTCTTTTAATCGCGAAGAAAGGAAACTATTGTGTTACGATTTAAAGGGTTACCAGGGGTGCTCGAGGGAAGAAGGCAGGGGGAAGCACAAGCGACACGCTGGACGTTTGACGAGGGAGAGTGCGAAACAAAAAACCCTCGTGTCAGATCCGAGGCCGTGGATCCCAAGCGGACACGGTGACAGAATTTCTAACCACTGACAGGATTCTGTGGATGATCAAGGTTCTGCACGTGTTAATACTTTGCTCACCATAGGGTGTTGTCAGGAGGATATGACGCAAAGAATAAGAAGAGTGCAATAGCTGATGAGGAATGCTAAGGAGACAGTCGGTCATCATAGCTTCTTTTAATTTATAAACAGTGGACGTCAGTGAAGGTATACAGCCCTGATGACATAATCAAACGAACTATTAAGAAATTATGGGAAGCGAAATGACTGCAAGTCTTTGGAAAAACCGTAAATGAGAGGCAGCCCTTCATACGTGCAGCTTCTACGAATGACCTAAACTGGCAGCTTTCATAAATGTGTAGGTACGTACAAGCACCAAAGGGATCATTGGAGATCACGATTTCTTAAGATTGGCAGTGAAAGTCTGGGAGGTACGTGTAATAAACGAATCAATTTATTGATTTGTTGGGTTTCATCGTCTCTAGGACCTCAGAAGAGCCGCGTGTCAAAGAGTCCAAAGAATCAATATTACAATTAAGCCTTTAGCTAGTAGACCAAAAATGTGTAGTCTATTCTTTAACATATTGAGCCAATGTATTATTTAAAAAGTTAAAAGATAACAGTTGGCTCTGACTGTCACTAACATTCACACTCGCATTCACAGCTGTTATTCGCAATGACAACCAAATGAAAAATTTTAAGACGTGCAACGCCCTAAAAACCAAAAAATTCCAAGTCAAAGTCCCTTGGTACATTTTCTTAAGGCATGAACGCCATTATACCGATCATTTGCGTAATTTACGCAAACGTCTTCTCAATAGATGCTTACCTTGTACCGGGAGCATTTGGTAACTATAAATGAAATAATTCAATCGATAACTGATTTTTAAGGGGGAGAGTGTTATGAAATAATTTTTCCCGTTCTAAAAAACCACAATCTCTTCAACTACCATAAACTACAGAAGATGATTGTGGACGTTAATAACAATGCGCAGAAATTATGGTCGGAGGTTAGTAGTAGTTGCGCCCACCAATTTTGCTGTAATACTTGGTTTGCTTTAAGGTGGAGGACGATTTAATCGATACCTTTGATGATGATGTTGCATACTGGAATCGTATGGTGAGTTTTTTGCTGGACATTTTCGCCGTTCGAACATGTCCTGTAGATTACAGGTACTGCAGCTTTGCACTTCAGCGCCAGGCAAAAGAGGATTGCGTATCGATTTGTTTGTAGGACGCTATTTTATAGTGCAATAATCTACATCACTCGGGTAAGGGTCAAAAAGTCGATGGCCAAGAAGTGAAAATTGCAGTCACGAGTGCCAATTTCCTTGAGAAAATGGTCAAAGGTCTCGATAGACAAAAAGTAAAAATTATTGCGCACTTTATATTTGTTAGGTAGTAGCTGCTGCAAAATAGTATAATTGTTTTCATTTTCAGCAATTTATTTTATCGCTTTACACGAAGAAGGAAATACCTACGCATCTCCACTAGTTCTGGATATTACTAGAAAAGTACATGAACGTTGCGCAGAATGTTAATATTAAATTGTTTGTTATCAATAAATCAATAAATTGTAGATTATATGTAGTGCGATTTTTTTTCTTGGTGCGTTCAAATTTGTAACATTTTTTGGAAGAGACTGCGAACATGCGCGCAAGTTTTCCAACTGCAAATTTCGACGACACTAGAAGTTTTTGTCTAGAATTCATACAAAGTTAAAGTGGACTTGAAAATGCGTGTGGCGGTGTTGGTGTACGTTTTATGTGCCTTGACGATACAAAAGTGCCATTCTCAAGAGCACGATCAGCTGCACGAGTTAGGTAAAATGTAAGTTAGTAAACTTTTGGAAGTTCTAATTTAAGCGAAAAACCAATGAGAGTAAATAAATTTATAGATGATTACTGCAGGGGATGCTGAACTGGCGACTGCCTGTCGCGTCTATATTGATTTGAAACTATTCTACTATCCGATTAAGATTGTGAAAATTTCATTTTTTGATTTCAAAATAGGTTTTTAATTTTCAATTTACTTTTCAATCCAATCCGAAATGTTCGCGTATCGAACAGAAATTTAGCTTAGAAATATACTTTCTTTTGCGTACGTATACCTACATACTCCACGAAATCAAGTCCTAAGCCTAAGAATTATGGCTTATGTTCTAGCCACACGGGCACGATCGTTTGAGATACAAAGCAGCCTTTTGGAAAGACCAAAAACCAAATTTTCTTTATTCCGCCTCTGTAGATGTTACCCTAGCCTATAGCTGATACGTGATAAACCATATTTCGGATTAGCATTGAAAGTTGGTTTGGTCCAAGCCAATAAGCCTGAGGAACTTCGGATTTTATTAAAATCTTGCATACGACCACGCGGAGTGCTTTATTCCCAAACATAAAATACGAGGGAGGACCTATAGCTATAGCGATACAAAATTTCAAAGTCCTCTGTGAGATCGATGGTACTTCAGAGCGCATTTTTTTGTGGCAAGGCAGTATTCTGACTTGCCGGTTAATAAGATCTTGTCGGGGACTACCACATTCCTTTTGTCAGTACCCACTTCCGACGTCTCGTTCACCCGAAAGCAAAAGGTGGTTAATTTCGGACGGACCGACATCATCGAGATTTTGTTTGATTTGGATTTCTGAATCCTGGTGCTTCAAAACGTGTATTTCCGTAAAAAAGTGGGGGGGGGGTCATTGTTTTCCCCAATGACCTCTCTTACTAACGCCAGGGTGGTAATAATATTTTCCGGATTTAAATTCAAAATCGGGTGTATTCTAATTGTAACTGCAATGTAAATGTCCTACAATCCGCATTCGTTGATTACTTTCAACGTGTTATGTCGAAGCAGTGGGTTCTTATTGTCTATGGGGCCTTTTTTGCAGATAGCCTTTGTGTCTGTCTCTAGACATCTTCCGTTATTAATTATTTTAGATTGTTTTGGTAACAATCAATCAGAAAATCAATCCCCTCAAGGTCCCAGAACTGGGACCACTTATATGCTGAAGACTTTTTTTAAAGAAAGGTTTATTTAAGCACTTTAAAAAAAGATTCTACACTATTTCCCAGATAGGATGCACCATAGGGAACTTGGCAATGTATTTTTCGCGAAGGATCCACGATGCCTTTGAAATCAGAGTTGGACTCTAATCTCTTTCTACCATCAGGCAATACGTTGAACGCTAACTTCAAATACATATCAAAGGCCTCGTGGATCATTCGCGAAAAAATCTATTAATTCTGTTCGCCTAGGACACACGGTATAAGTTTTTCTCGAAAAATGCATTGTTATCCTGTTATCTGACCTTAAAACTCTCTAAAATTATTTTCAAACTTGGGTCTTACTTAGGACCATTTTATAATTCCGATTATCTTTTGTTTGTAAAGAATTAGCTTCGCTAAAAATGACCAAAAAAAATCATGTAAAATATTAAAAAGACGTGTTTTCCAAAGGGTTAAAATATGGGCGGACAACTTGGGAAAAGAGTTACAATTTATTGCCGAATCCGCAACGCGCAGAAGTAAAGTAATTGAGGTACGTAAAACAGCGATAGTGCCGTCTTTTAAGTGACAACCTTCTATAGAGCTTTAAACAAACAAAGGCCGTCTACGAAAAGGGCAGCAAAATCATGGAGGATATCGCCGACAAGCTGAGAACGATGATGTTGGAGAAAGAGAAGGCTGTGAAGGTAAGGTCGTTTTAAAAAGTTCAATATTGCAAACGTCCGAATTACAGAGAATAGTTGAACGTGCCGAGTATCTGTCGTATTATCGAAAGCCACCGATTTTTGAAAACAGCACGTATGACTACTTCAACGCGGACAACATCACCAATAGCACGTGGGATCGAGAATTAGAAGAGCAGCAGTATAATGATCGATTAGAGGTGAGCGGATGAAGCCTGTCGGTTCCAACAATTACCTGACGCCTTCCAGCAAATCCAACAATTCAAATGTGACGATGCGCTAAACCACAAAGCCGGAGTGGAAGTGCAGACCAATGCACCAACGCAACAATTACGTTTCGACAAGAATGACGACCAAGAGTGCCAGGTGCGCCCGTACGTCGAACGCAAGCCGGGTTACTTTCGCCACCTTCCCCTGGTTTACCACAGCGGTTTCGACGCCGAAGTCAACTTTAACTACAGCGTTATGCGAATTGCAACAAGCATCTTCGACAGAGGTTTGTAAAAGTGGCAAGACCGCCACAGTAAATCATTTCGTTCCAGAGGAGCCACTTTTAAACGACATACGATGGTCTGAAGCTCTGGATTTGGTCTTCCAACAAAATTACCAGGAGGATCCCACATTGCTATGGCAATACTTCGCAGGACGAACCGGGTTTCTGCGACATTACCCGGGCATCAAGTGGTCAGATGAGCAGTATGAGCGAACTTACGACTTTCGGACGCGCGCTTGGTTTCTGGAGGCCATTACCTCGCCAAAGGACGTCATAATTCTGTTGGATATGTCAGGGTCTATGGCCAAATACAACTGGTTTATAGCGAAATTTCTTGTTAACAATATACTGGACACTTTAGGTGACAACGATTACGTTAACATTTACTTGTTTAACAACGAAACGCGTCCTCTTGTGGATTGCTTTAATTACACACTGATGCAGGTAACTATTTCGAGTAAGTAAAATGAGATGGAAAGAGGTTGTTGAAGGCGCACGAGGAAAACCTGAGGCTACTTCGTGAGAGTTTGAATAAGTACACTCCCGATACAACTGGTAACATGAAAAGTGCTTTTAAGCTAGCCTTTGCGACTTTGGAACATTTTCGGAAGGACGAAGGGAAATGTGAGTGTACACCTGTGATCAGCAATAGGTACATGAGTTTAACCTTTCAGCGCACTGCAACCAGATGATAATGTTTATAGCCGAAGGGATTGACTATGATTACAGCCCAGCCGAACTGTTCAAAACCCATAACCGAACAGAATATTACACACCAGTTCGGGTTTTCACATTTCTAATCGGCACGTCCCCATCTGACGAAGTGGAGATGGTTTGGATAGCCTGCGCCAACATGGGTACGATCCAGATGCTAAACATTACACAGATTTGAACTTAGTCTTCTAGGTTACTACGTCAATATCAGTCGAGATTCTGAAATAGCGGAAAAGGTGGTGAAATACTTGACGGTACTGTCGAGACCGTTGAATATGAATTCGGTCATTAAACCGGATCCGATATGGACGGGGACCTACGCCGATTTAGCCGATAGACGTATAACGAATTGGTTATGGCAAAAGTACGAAGGAAACCAGCAGAGGCAGGTTTTCGTTGACTACACGCGTACCACGTATACGCAGTACAATTGCGTTTTCGATCAGAATAGTATGCACTTCTTGCAGAGCGACAGTCACGTAAGTTTCCGCGATAATTTAATTTATAATTAATTTAGTCTAGTGATTGTAATAAAATCTTCTCAAAAAGTTTTCAGTTGCCTTTCTCTAAAATCAACAGTTCCCCAAGGCCATTACGATGGGGAGCATTACTTTTCTCAAGATCAGCTGGGGTTATACCAAAAGGATAGAGACCGCACTTACAATCTTCCTGTACGTGCGTTAGGTTTTTAGTAGTGTACCGAGCATAGGTCATCTAGCAAGGTACTAGAAGAAGCGCCACTCAGATCCAAGGTTTTCGGATCCACTCACTGATACTCCATCCCTCTCCTCCTATTCTCGCAGTATCCTAAGCTCAACTGATATTAAGTTGCACCAACATGGTACAATCGAGTGTTACAATTTTCAGTTTTGAAAAAAAACCTTTCCCATCAAATTTGCGCATATTGGAAAGTAGATTAGTCCTAGCCCTACATGAAATTGTATACTATGCGATCAAAAATGAGTTGCTGTCGCGATACCTTTGGAATTTTTGTTTACATAGGAAATCGTATTGAATTTGAATTTCCAAAGGCGACTCGATAGCAACTCATTTTTGTCCGCCCGTTATTAGATCAAAACAAATATTTTTTGAAGGAGAGCCATCCCCCACTCTCTGACAGGGGAGGGTGAGCCACCCCTAAAAGTGCATTTTTTGAGTTTTTGGTATTTTACAGGAAAACTACGACCTTTATCAAAAACGGTGTGGTTACTTATTCAATGCTAAAAGTGAGAATCTGTCCAGGGTGCGCCATCTAAACCTTCCCTGTTTCAATATTTGATAACTCCGTTATTTGTCTGCCGATTTTGACAAATGAACAAGATTTATTTTGATATACAATGCCATTTATTGAAAATAAATTCAAAATACAATATCGATCAAATAACCGCCTCCATTAGATACATAAGAAGCGGCCATGTCTGTGAAGTTGGCCTGGATAAAATAGCCCGGCAGCATCGCATCATGCTAGATCGTTAGTGCTTTGTTAGTGCTAGTTAGTGCCTCATAAGTTAACATAAGGGCTCAAACCGTTTTCTCAACATAAAATTTTTTTTTTGTTCGGGTCAACTTCACGTTTGCCCGAACAATGACTCCAATTTGCATCAAATTTTGTACATCGTTAGTGCTTTGTTAGTGCTTATTAGTGCTTCATAATTCAACGTTAGGACTCAAACCGTTTTCTCAGAATACTTTTTTTATTTGTTCGGGCTAACTTCACGTTTGCCCGGACAATGACTCCAATTTGCATCAAATTGTGTAAATCGTTAGTGCTTGGTCAGTGCTTGTTGGTGCTTCATAATTTAACGTTAGGACCCGAACAGTTTTCTCAGAATAAATTTTTTATTGATTCGAGCCACTGATGGGGCGCGGACATTAGGACACAGATCCTAGGGGACTAGACGTTGTAGCGCATACACAGATCAAATAAGTACAATAACATTGGTTTACTTGTTATACCTTTTATTGTCCTACCTGCAATCTAATCTCTGCTGGTGATCTACATGATGCTTGCGTTCTAATGTCCGCGTCTCAATGTCCAATGCCATAGCGCCGGAATTTCGTTTCAAAGGCAAAAATTTGTTTGGTAAATTTTAGAGGAAACCGTCTTTTTCATAATTTTTACGTTTTGCGTTTTTATTCAGTACTTGCCTTACATGATATGTAGCAAAATATGTTGTTAATAGTTTTCATCATTTGAAATCCCTTAATGGAACTTTCTCGGAGCACGGAGTGTACCGCATCGTTCTAAAGGCTTTCTATTGGCCAATTTGAATTATTTTGAATATATAATTCTCAACTATTACAATTAGCAAAATAATTAATTTAACTGCTGTTTTAATTAATTTTATATACATTCGTCTTCGTCCTATAAAAGGAATAATTCTTATCACCCAACAATGCTGTTTGTATGTTACGACACTGGCAGGCATGTCTTGGTGACAAATGGTCACAGTTTTATTGAAAGTATTACCTGTCCTCTCTCTTTTCTAGTCTAAGGCTATAGACATATTCAGGCTGCACTACAGCACTTGATTAAGAAAGCAGACTCATCCGCCATTTTGGAGCCCACTGACAGTCTGTCAGATATTACGCTGTGTTGTTTGATCGTTATGTTGTGTTATGTTGCCAAGGTAACTTACTGTCATGAGGAGCACGTGTTTTGCAAGCGTCAATTGTCATTGGGCTCCAAAATGGCGGACGAGTCAGTTGTGGCATATATAGTAGGTATAGACTAGACAGTTACGTCACCGTCCGGCCCATCAAAATTTGTAAACAAGAATATTTTACGTTTCGTTGACGGTGCGGTAACGGAACGATGACGGTACGTATAGATGAATCGTGCTGCATGCCAATGTGAAAAGAGCTACGTCAAAAATGAAGTTTGTCCCCAACAGGAAAATGTATTTTAAGAAAGCGGTTTGGGTTCTAACGTTGAATTCTAAAGCACTAACGAAGCACTAACGATTTATAAAATTTGATGCAAATTGGAGTGATTGTCCGGGAAAACGTGAAGTTGGCTCCAATCAATAAAAAATTTATTCTGAGAAAACTGTTCGGGTCCTAACGTTAAATTATGAAGCACCAACAAGCACTAACGAAGCACTAACTATTTATAAAATTTGATGCAAATTAGAGTCATTGTCCGGGCAAACGTGAAGTTAGCCCGAACAAATAAAAAAGGTATTATGAGAAAACGGTTTGAGTCCTAACGTTGAATTATGAAGCACTAATAAGCACTAACAAAGCACTAACGATCTACAAAATTTGATGCAAATTGGAGTCATTGTCCGGGCAAACGTGAAGTTGACCCGAACAAAAAAAAATTGTTATTTTGAGAAAATGGTTTGAGCCCTTATGTTAACTTGTGAGGCACTAACGAGCACTAACAAAGCACTAACGATCTAGCATGGTGTGATGCTGCCGGGCTATTTTATCCGGGCCAACTTCACAGACATGAAGCGGCCCATTTTCGGACATTTTGCATAGTGTTTGACAGCATTTCGGGCGTAATATCAGCAATTTCTGCTCTTATATCCTCCAAGGCGTTTCATTTTGTCATATGTAAAAAAGTTAATCAACTTTGCAGTTTTGTATCAGTGGCAATAGAACAAAAGTCAATACACCTAATCCATAGAGAATTTTATGCTCTACAAAAAAAAGTATCTACGCCTTTTTTGAGAAAGGGTGTAGTTTTCCTGTAAAATGCTTTAATCATCAAACGCCCTATAATCGCATTTTTCGGCTTGTAGGACTAGGACTAGATATGCCGAATAACTTTACACAAAATGTTCTCAGAGACACTATTCACTTTTATCTTCCCTGTAGGAGGAAGTTCTTGTACAGGGTATTTTTGGGGAGCTTATTAGTTAAAAGTTTCTGGGAAAGTGAAATAGGTAGGTTTTCGAAAATTTGTTATTCGCTGAAGGCCGAATCGATGTAAAATATTTTCAAAATGGTCGCTCTTCCGGAAATACCGGAAGTAGCTAGTAACTTCGTTATTTTAAATAGCAACCCTATTTTTTATTGCATTTTTGGATTCTACGTGAAATTTCAGTTCTTTTGATACCCACATGTCTATATCTACCATTTATGGTTTTTAAGTTATTTTGACTTTAGACAAAAAAAATGGCAGATGCAGACGGTAGCTTGATAATTGATTACTACTTGAAAACGGTTGTGGTTATGGTAACCCATTTTTGCCAGTGCATAGAGAAAAATAGGGCTTTCTTTCAGGGGCGGACTGGCCTGGGGGGGCGGGTGGCGATTGCCACCTGGCCTGTACGTCATAATGGCCCGTTGGAAATTTATAAGTATGTGCTGTATTTAGTTTCTTGCACTATTAATAAATTATTACACGTTTCTCTAATTGGGGTTGATGTTAGGTTGTTAAAAAATTAAAAAATTATGTTTTAATTGAAATGTTTTACAATGAATTTATCATTTTTTGTCGTAGCATGAAAGTGCTGAAATACAATGATAGGCGACGCGCCTCGTTTGGATTGTATATTTTGTTACTTTTAATTATCAGCTGCAATTTAAAAAAAAACTGTATTGTAATTGATTTCCGAAAAAGGAGTAGGTACCTTAAAATGAAGCAAAAAATGTTTTTGTGGTGCACCGCAGAGCTACCCCCCCGCCACCTTCATTACTACACTAATACTTTAATGGCCCGTAACCTATGCAATTCCACCTGGCCCGCCCCTGACTAGAAACCAATTTCGAAAGAAAATTCAAAGGGCTGTAACTTTTGAACTAGTGGCCCAATCTTGGAACTGTTTGAAAGCAAGACCCATTGTTGAAAATAAGGCTAATATCGGTGGATATTTCACGGCGTACCCCCCTAAATTCGTTGAGAGACGCGGAAATGGCTTTGGGTTTAAATATTGTGCATATACATAAAACCCCAAAAAAAACTACCATAAAACGGCATGTTTATTCGCCATAACTCTCATTACTGGTGCGATCAAAATCTTTTTTTTTTTAAATCGAGAAGTACCTACACTTCCAAGGGTGAAGTTTTAATGTGCTCTGTGCGTTGAAAAATAACAAGATTTTGTGTTCCGTGTGAATCAAGAAAATTTGAATGCAGAACGTTATTTGGGAATTTTACGTAATATTGTTGTTGAACAGCAACAGAATATCCGCCTTTGCAGGAATATATTGCTATGTCAACAGGACGGTGCCTCTGCACATAATGCAGGCATTATTTCCGAGTTTTTAGACGCCATTTATCGAAAACCTCGGGCCTATTCGTTTCCCAGACCTTTTCCTCTTAGGTTTCTTTTTGTGTGGATATGTAAAAGGCACAGTTTATGCCGGGGTGTTCCTCAACAAGAGAAGATATGATCTTGAAAGTAAAAAATGTACTTACAAGCCATTGTGAATTGTGTTTGCAACACGAAGGCTCTCATTTTGAGCATGGTGTTGAAGAAGAGAGGGTCTTAGAATAATATTTGATCCTATTTTCATATAGTTTTGGTTTCCAATTAGCTGATGTCTTTTTTATTAATTAATTATTTAGATTAGACTTACCAATGATATTAAAGAATCCTTTCCTTGATTTGTTTAAAATTCGATTGTCATAGAATCAAGGCCGACTACTAATATAGCTGCAGGGACATGTAATATCAAAATATGCCAATTTCGATTCTATATCTAATTCAATAGTAAGAAAATGGTCATTTCAGTAAAAAAAAATGAGTTTTTAGTCTTTGAATCTTTGGATCTCTCCATAGGTGCGGTCGGAAGCAACTTAACTTTCTTAAGTACACTAAAAGAAAGCCCTAAATATTCTTTCTCTATGTACTGGTTACCATAACTACAACCGTTTTCAAGTAATAATGCAAAATTTGTAAGCGAATCCTCTCGAGAAACTTAAGAGAATATCTAGTATATCCAAAAAGCTTCAATTGTAGTAAAAAAAAGCTTCAGACAGATCCCGCGACTAGCTAAGGGAAAATCATTGTCATTTTCAGGATTACGAACATTACTCGGAGCCGCGAGATTTTCATTACATGACCACTGTTTCGCTCCCTGTCTACGATCTTCGTCAGGACGCTGTAAGTACCACAAGCGCAAACCAAATTAAACACAGCTTTTTCGCAGACGGCCGTTTTGGGTGTCGCAGGTCTCGACGTTCCCATAAGTTACATAAAAAAGCTCACAATGCCCCATCAGGTACGTAACGCTTTCAATCTTTCCAAAGCTGAAACGTCCCCTTTTCAGATCGGTGTGAACGGCTACGCCTTCATCTTGACTAACAACGGGCTTCTTCTGTTACACCCAGATCATCGCAAAGAGGTAAGTATTAGAGATTAACGCCAAGAGTAGAGAATTCGTTACAGTTTCACAACATCATCAAACCAACATTCAATCGAGTGGATCTGACTGAAGTCGAACTCATTGATGACCTCAACGAACCCAGAGATTTCAACAAGAGTCTCTTGGAGGTATTGTCTATTACCTACATCCGGTAGCCCTTGCGTAAACGTTGATTTTAGATGCGGGATCGGATCGTCAGGCAGATGACTGGACACGACTCGTTCCAGGTCAAAATTCACCTAGACAATATGGTAGGTACCTATGTTAACGCGGATGAGTGTCTAGTTAAACTTTTATTTCAAGCGCCGCGTGTTCCTGAGCCGTCGGCACTATTTCTACACGAAGATTGGACCGTTCAGTTTAGTGATCGCAATACCCGACAACTACGGATTTTACAAGATACGGTACGAGTCGAAGAATGGAAGTGACACCTTGCAGAACAGCAAGCAGTTGAGCGGTTTGAGGCTTACCAAAAATTGGAAAGTGCACCCGGAGTGGTACGTTTCTTGCACAATCGTGCTACCGTTCATGCTTTATTTAAGGTTATATTGTAAGCATTACGGGAGGAAGAGGTTGAAGTTTGACACTCCCGAAGAAGAATTGCTCTATTTCTTAAACGATCTTGAGCAGCATGGATGGAGGTGGTACAAATATTGTATGTATTCCACTTGTAAAGACTTCGGGTGAATAACTGCATGGGTGGTCTTACAGGTCAGCCCAGTCTGGTGACGCTTTTGGTTCTGGATGCCAAAGCGACTGAGTGGTTTGAGGAACGAAATACAAACTGGTAAGCACTCTTCTAGCGAACGACGCCAATTACGGGTACGTTATCCACAGGTACAACATTATGAGCAAGTATCAGATAGCGATCGCATTCATAGCGACCCATTCAGGTTTGACCAGGTGGAGGACAATAGAAGACGACGATGTAGACCCGCCGTTTATTACAAAGAATAATAAAGCTATTGACGAAATTTGGTATAAAAGAGCTGTTACTCATAGTTACGCGAATCCGAAAAGTTTCATATATTCGGTTCCTATCGACACAGGTGAGCGACTACTCCAAACTTAACAGAAACTAAAAGACATTCTCTAGCGTTAGATAACGAAACTCTTGTAACGGGTGCTAATGCCATCTTTCGTGAAAGTGGATCGAAGAAAGCTGCAGCGGCTGTTGTTGGGTTTCAGTTTAATCATGTCGTCTTGGAATCAATTTTTAAAAAAACTACGAGCGATGTAAGTGCATTACTACCGGGCGATCAAAAATGAGTTGCTGTCGAGTCGCCTTTGGAAGTCCAAGTTAAGTACGATTTCCCATGGAAACAAAAATTCCAAAGGTGACTCGACAGCAACTCATTTTTGATCACATAGTATAACAACGCCATATCCAAAGCCACCTTTAAATGTGCCATAATGAAACTTCCACTATCCTTTTGGTGTTCAAAAATACCCCATATTTTGTTACCGAGGTTGACCGAGGGGTAGGATCCGTCGAGATGGCTATTCATCCCAACCGTATGCATTAATAAAACTTTCAGTTCAAAATCCGCACTTTTACCTGCCATAATAGCTATCAACACACAATCTCGGTGAAAATGTTTTACTAATCCATCACTATTGATAATGGATGTTGTGATATTTGCAACTTATTGCTATGGTGTGTTTATACAATCATTATCATTAGTTTCGTTGGTTAGCAACGCACAATAAACCTTTGTTTCTATTGGCTAATTCTTAACGATTTTTAGTAGTGAACTAATGATAATGATTGTATAAACCCACAATTAGTCGCGACATCGACACGTGACATTGTGGAAAACTGATTATCACTTTCCGATCCATACACCAGTGTGGAGATCGCAGTTGCCCGCACAGATGCGATTCAGATGAGCTATCCTGCTTTGTGTTGGACAACAACGCTTACATAATCGTGAGCGACGAAGGATACACCGGCGCATTCTTCGGAAAGGTTCGTCCGGACATTATGAAGCACCTAGTCGAAAATGGCCTATACCGTCGCGTAAGGTTTCTCGATTATCAGGACATATGCTACTTGGATCCCCCGAGCCCGAAGTCCAAATCACCAGCGTCCAGAATTACGCTGGTAAATAGGCCAAACTACGACAACGCGCTCTAGTTTCGAAATAGTTTTTAGCAAACATTTATGGTATTCTTAAGGGCTTCTTGTGCGTACTGTTTTACTGGGTGCAGGGGTTTTTGGGAGCGGTAGTTAAAGATGATCCATGCACCCGCGCCATCACCTCCCAGTACGAAAAGCGAGCAATTAATAAGTCGCTACCTACTCCCTGCGATCGCCAGCGTTGGCTGTTCAGCTTGGAACGCGACACATACACCAACACCAACGATAATATATTCACGATACCCAACTGTCTATGGCAAGTAATTCGTTATCAACCCCGAACGCCATACTTAACACTCTTCCAGGCCTTACATCGTGTATCCAATTCCCAGTAGCAACCTGATCTTGCTGGTGGTGAACCGGCCATGTGAAGTGGACATCCAAGACTACCCCTACACACCGGACCCAGTCGAATTGAAGTACAACCTGTCAATGCCCTGCTACATTGCCACCAAAAATAATTATACAAGAAGACAATATATCACATGCATCAACAACCACAAGAGGGTAAGCCAGTGGAAAAACTTGCGCAAAGTCATAATGCAATTGCAGGAGTACAGCCTGAATTTAGACCACCAATTTTGTGGTGTCACTTGGAAATAACTGCTTCGCTGCCTAACGTTAATTGTATATGAGACTGCAAAAGCGCCTTCTTGTTTATATACGCCAATAAAACCGAACAAACCACTTTATTTAAGGCAAGCAACTCTAGCTCAAAATGAGTCTCAAGTGCCTTATCTTAAGCCAGAGGATCTTCGCAAAGTTAATTTCCCTAAGCCTAAGCTAATTTTTGAACAGAAAGCACAGTTTTGTAAATAATTTTAAACCATAATACACCGGAAAATGTACTGCAGGTCATTAAACAATTACAAGTAGTATCTCGCTGTCGAATTTGCCCCGCACCTAGAACTTTCAGACCGTTTACTGTTACTTTTTGGGAATAACGATCATGTTCTAAATAATACAGGGTGTCCGTTATGTATGGAATATAGTATACCTATATCTCGGTAGATATCGAATGTAGGTATACAAAATTTTTCTAAGTATATGAAAGTTGTTTAACATTTTATTTCCCATAATAAGGCAGCTTTCAATTGTTTAAACGACTATCGAAAGACAATTGATTTTTTTTTAATGGCAATGCAACTTTTCATTATTCGATGATCTAACATGTTAGTTTCCATAATATAAGAAAATTTTTAAAAAAAACTTATTGTTATCAATCACATCAATAACATTAATCAAGATATCCTACATCTAAATAAAACAAATGAATATGTACGTTTGTTACCATTTTATTGCTAATTTCATTTTGTCTTCAAGGTTTAATAAGAAACGTTTTCAAATGAGCCTAATAAAAAAGTGCACTGTCTTATAAAAAATTCAATTTTTCGTTACTCATTTGTTTTCAGAAATAAAAACAGCTGAATGCTGCCGTATTATGGGAAAGAAAATGTTAAACAACTTTTATATAGAAACATTTTTATACTCATATATTCGATATTTACCGAGATATATACTTATTCCATACATGATGGGCGTCCTGTATATTATTATCAAGAAGGCCTCTCCCAAATCATCCGACCTGTTCCACAGAATGCTGATTTCTACAAGAATACACAGATCAGTTTCCTGCTAACTTAATTAATAGCGATAAACACCTACCCACCGTACGTTTAAAACACTACATTTCATATTATATTGGAATCGTGAATCGTAATGTTACAATATCAATACTTATTCTATTATTCTTCCTTTAAATTATATATGTGTACGAAAGTTAAGTATAAAGAACTAAAGCATTTTAGCGCATTTTTGAAAAAAAATATATGACTGGCTGTCTGGCTGAGGTCTCAGCAATTAGCTAGAGACTTCAAATTTTCACTAAAAGCTTTCTGATAATAGTATAGTATAGATGTGCAGGTTGTAGTATATTTTAAGTTAGATCACTCGTGAAATCGTTAATTTTAAACTTTGCTAATAAAATACTGATCTGTATTACCAAACACGAGACCAAAAATGCGCTTTCATCATGTATATGCTGAACTTCCATTGTGTATATGCTGATTTACAACTTGTTTACAAAAAAAATCAATTACTTAATGCGACCTGGACAAGTTTTCTCAGAATACTACATTGGGCGCGTAGAATCCGAAAATAGCTACATATTAGTGTCCACCCTCATTCGGCTAAATACTGACCATAACTGATGCCGAAAATCTCGCTTTTACTGTTGACAAATAGAAAAAAATAATACCAAATAAAAAATAGGACACGTCTCCACTCCACCACGAAAATAACCCAAGGAGACAATACAACGGACACTAATAAATTAGGCGCTCCGCTGACCGCTTGTTGCACTTGTGTAAAAACCAGCGCCCCCTGCGTACAAAATAGTAAACAATCATTGTCAAGTGGAGGCTTTCCAGTCTCAATTATTTCGTAGCCCATTCCGTTGAAGAACAAATCGTGTGGCTTTTAATAGCTCATCAAAGAAGGTATGTTTTAACTCGATTGTGAGTATGGAAACAGACTGATTTACGAAATTATTTAGGGGTCACCTTTGGCCTTAGATAGTGATAGTTGAACCTTAGATAGCGATAGCTTTTCTCCGCCTCGTTGCCGAATTGAGAAAAATGGAAGACGTCCTCAAAGTTTGGCAACGCGCAGACGCCGTTTGCTTAGATGTCGATTCGACCACCATTCAAGAAGAGGGGATAGACGAACTTGCCAAATTTTGTGGGAAAGGAGAAACTATTCGCAACCTGTAAGTGCCCTCACAAAGCACGTGTGCAACGCAGATCATTTTAGAACGTCGAAAGCGATGGGAGGTAAGATGACCTTTGAGGAAGCTCTGAAGCTGCGCTTAGACCTGCTACAACCCTCACTGACTCAAATTGACGCTTTTATACGAGATAAACCAGCCACTTTGACACCTGGAATTGAGTAAGTAGACGCGCCTCAAAGAGCCTAACCACTCGCATCTTAGAGATTTAGTTCAGATGCTTCACGAGAAGACGGTACCGGTGTACTTAGTGTCTGGTGGATTTAGAAGACTTATTGGTCCAGTTGCGAAGAGATTAAACATTCCAGAAGGACGCATTTACGCCAATACCTTACTGTTTTCTGATTCCGGTAAGAATTGGATCATTTAGACTTTACGAACGTGATGATTTTAGGCGAATACGCCGGCTTCGATATAAACGAACCGACAAGTAGAAGTGGAGGAAAGGGAAAGGTAATTGAAGAGTTGAAAAGATTGCATGGATATAAGAGTGTGGTAATGATTGGCGATGGTATGACTGATCTAGAAGCATGTCCGCCAGGTGACGCTTTTATCGGTAAGAATTTGTTAGGTAGGTAAGCCTTCTCTAATTAAGGTTCTTAGGTTTTGGTGGGGTCGTCATAAGAGAGGCGGTGAAAGACAAGGCAAAATGGTATATTTTAGAATTTCGCGAATTAATTGACAGTTATAAACAATGATTTTGTGCTGAAAAATTCGTAACTGATTAAGTAAACTGTACAACAACCTTTATTATTTTTTTATGGCGCTCGTATAACCTCTCCCGGAGTCCCCAAAGACGTCATCGTTTATTTAGCATCATGCAAAATGTGTTTAATAAATTACGATTGTTTATCCATACATCTCTGACTCGCAATATTGATTGAAAGAGCAGTTGGAAGCTCATAATGCTCGTTCAGTAACTGTTTCAGATACTTTAAATTCTTCAGCGTCTCAACTTCGAATTTTTAAATCCCTTCCAGTTCTTCAGAATCCACCATTCCTCGGATTTTGGGATTGATTTTCAAAGAATTATACTTAATTTTAATAATAAAATAATACTTTTAGTTAACAAAAGATTCGGGTATATCGAAACATCCTATATATTTAAATTTAAAAGTAGTTCAGTTTTTAAAGATTATACGAGCTACTGAAAGTATTCACTTGAACTACAAGCTTCTTCACATCCTCGCAGTAGTTCAAAAGCATGTCCCGTTTTGTTTTCATTTTCACATTTCAGTTTTTGGAGAAATTTTTTACAATTTAGGACAGATGTGGTTTAGTTTAGTGCGTAAACATGTATTTATTAAGCGACATACACTTTTGGAGTACATTTGAGGACATTATAATAAAACATGTAGATTTTTCCGCCTTTAAGTAAGTATGCGAATTGCGAGGGCCCTTTAATTGTAATTATTTTTCAGATACTTTACACGTAAAGAATCTAACGATCAGTTATTGTATAGGAGTAAGAAAAGTTATTGCGAAGGACGAGGTATCATTTGGCATCCTAATAACAAGCGTCCATTTAAGGTGAAAGATCGTTTGAAAGAATTAGAAGTAAGTTATTTACATCACCTCATTTGTGTTCTTAATTGGGTGATTTCAGGAATGTCTACTACAAACTAAGGTAATCTGTACCTCTTGTGCGGGAAATAACTTTCAACTTCTTCTGGCCAACGGTTTACTAGTGGACATTACCGTTGACCCGACCACTTGTGACATTACAAATATATCATTTAACAAATCACTAGCTGCAAAAGTACAAACGGAATTGATCTGCCACGGTAGAATTGACAAAGAGCAAATCGCATGCATAAGCACTGACGGACGTGTGTTTTGTCAGGGGGGCATGTGGCGCGAGGGCTGGGTTATCGAGAGTGGCGCTAAGAAAAAAATTGACCTGCATAATGAGCTGCTGTGCGTGTGGGGAGGCGTCAATGCGGAAAAACCGCAACCTTGGAGTCCCTTGGCAAAAGATCACCAACGTGCCAATTTACTGCTGTATTGGGTTGGAAGTAGGGGGCCCGAATTGTTCGCCTATAAAAAAACTGAAGGCGATCCCATTAGTGTTATTATCAGTAAGGTGCTTAGCAAGAGCTTAATTTCGGTCGAACAGAAAGTTTCTTTGAGAGGTAAGGGAGAAGGAACGTAAGTATATTCCGTTCACATTTTCCCATAAGGGTTATCCTCACTTACTATAATATGTTTTCTTGGTTCGGGGCATGGATATTTGTAAATGTATAGTGGGTTGGGTGGATAGAGCAACCTTTGCTGAACCACCCCCCTCCTCACTTCAAAATAAAATTTTAAAAACCATCTTCATAATGTCTATTGCAGTACCTACATATCAAAGGTATATTGATGATTGGGTCATCAAAAAAGGCATTGAAAAAACAAAAATTCCAAAGGTGACTCGATGGCATCTTTTTTTTCCAAATTTCAAAAACTTGAATCAACTTAGAACAAATGAAGTTTCGCAAGGTCAACCCTTATGAAAAAAAAAACATTAGGTTTGGCGGAACGATTTTATAAATTCATTGCAGGGGCGGTGTCAATTGAAGTAAATGTTTTGGAGGTAACCGCCAACGTGTTGAAGAGAACGTCGGTCATTTCTGTACCTCTCCAAACTCAAATTAGTTGTTGTTCCTTAAGTAACAATGAAGGTCGACTGCTGCTGGGCTGCATCGATGGTTCAGTCGCCTTGCTCGATCGTATCAGTGGTGCCACTCAAATAATTAAAAGTTCAATTATACCTACACACGCAATTTGGCACACTTACGATGCGATAGCGGCCATATCTAACGAAAAGGGACAGCTGCAATATTTTGATACCGCCTTAAATCGCATTAACACACAATTTAATGCGGACGAAGGTATTTCGATACCGTTGCTGGATTTATCGAGCTATTTCAACTTGCAACCGAACATATCCACGATTAAGTGGGGGAGATGCGGCATTATGGTTATTTTCGAACACGGGCCTTTAGCCATCGTGACACACTTGGACAAAGGTCTCACATTCGCTTCGTTAGTTCAGCAGTACATGAAAACCGGCAAGATTAAGAAAGCGATCTCTCTGTTGCTATCGTGGGATTGGGACGAGCAATTTTATGCCGTATTACAGTTTATAATTTTGTCCCTTCTGAAATCTCCATTAACCGAGGAAAGTTCTGAGAGCTTACAGAAGGCACTAAGTTGCTTTTATAGTCCGATAGTGCGACTTGATAGCGAGATAAAGGATAAATACGAAGGACGGGTACAGTATTCGCATGCAGAAAATGTTAAGTCTTTTGTGTTCAGATTTTAGCTTTGACACGGCGGTTTTTCCATCAATTGGTGCGATATAAAATGTTCGAGACCGCCTTTCTTTTGGCGGTCGATATAGGCCATCACGATCTGTTTATGGATCTTTATTATTGTGCAATAAAAATGAATGAGAAAGAAATGGCCGCTGCTGCTCGTGCACATGCGTCTGCTATACTGAGTAGATGTTCGAGTGAAGGTAATTTGAGAGGATCAATCCATTTCAAAATTGCCCCAATTTTCCTACTTTATTTTATTATAGTTGGCCATGAGGACCAATTGACAATCATCAATTATCTATTTGACTAGACACTGATCACGATATTGTCATGTTAAAGTCCCGATCTTTGTAGCAAACGAATATGTACTCGTTTGGTCTTATACCTTTGAGAGCGCAATGATACAATTGTTTAAAAAATCTACACACAAACCCCCCATTCCTCTGAAAAATTGGCCTAGTCAAAAAGTGGTAAAATCGGGTGATTTGAAATGGATTGACCCAGTACTCAAACCACAAATGATTAATGTATGCCATACAGGCTCCTGCTGTTCTCAATCGTCATGTTCCCAATGTTCGGAGACCTACACAGATGAGAGTAACGAAAGTGAGAAACTTCAAACTGCTCACGAACACATTTCCGCCTTCACCACTAATAGTGACTACCTGACAACGAACTTTAACGAATGTGCACCGAACACTTACAATGAATCTCTAACAAAAAAATTTCCACAACCGCCACGACTGTTGCAAAACTTCAACGAAATCCAAGCCCCACCTTTACCAATAGCACCTACGTTTACCGCCCAATACTCACTACCTAGTCGACTTATACCGCCCCGTCCCTTAATTCCGAAACCTCAGGTGAGCAGAGAGCGCATGTGGACGTACAATCCCCCGCTTCCACCAATTCAAACTGCGGCCCCTCCCGCCCCATCCGCCTCTCAACCGACCCAGCAAGCGAGCAGTAAGAAGCAGCAGGCGAAAGTCAAGTTTTCGGATACCGTGACCGCCTTCATCGTTCCCGAAATTAAACGACCGCCCAGACCTCCACCGCCACCTCACATAACTAATCCGCAACGCGAACTTGCCGATAGTCTACCCTTGTGTCATCCGAACGAAGACTACTTAAAAGATTTTACCCCCGTTCGACACGAATCGGACGATACAATTACAAAGCCTAAGATTAAAGTTGTTCATTTTGGTGTTGTTTAATACGCATTTATATTTTTTTATATATTATACAGAATATTTTTATAGCTCTTTATTTTTTACGTGGACCGCCTAATGTATCTAACTGATCCTTTAAGCTGGCCAGCTCTAAATCGGGTACGTAACGGACGTCTTCATGATACTGCTCGTGTTTTGAAACGTTTACTGTTACACCAGCGGGTGCGCTCGAGTCTAGCACTCGCAGTAGTGTGGCCAACTAAAATTGATATATGAAACTTGCGTTGCGAATTTAAGAAATACCTGTAACGAGGTTATCATGTTAATTTGCAAGGTTCTTTCGTACACTTGCAAATCAAACTGAGAATTGACAATTTCCGTATTTGGTTTGAAAGTGTTAATTTTTAATTGCTGTGCGGGAGTTGCCCAACCGTTTTCGACGTCCAAGTTCATATTTTTCATCATGTTGTGTAACCATTTTTGATAGGACTCTAAAATGCAGTAGTCGTGCCCGTGTATTTGTACATTAATAATGTCGTAGGCCGGAATTTTTGGTTTGAAATGCTGCAAGTGCAATTTAAATTCGCTTTAATTATAAAGTATATCGCGGTACCTGCAAGTAGTTCGGTTCGTAAAGGTCTGTACTGTAAAGACGTCTGTTTTTTAACGCGAAATTTCTACTAAAAGTCCATACATTTCGTAAAAACATTTCTATTATTTAATATAAATTAACAGGATTTTGGAGGTTAGATTTTTATCTGAGGTTATGATATTACGAAGTGTCTCACATACCAGCCGTTTACTGTGCCACAGGAAAGATACAGGGTAATTCAATAAAACATTTACGATTAAATCTGAATTATTGAAATAAATTACCGTTTGCAACGACAAATTTAAACTGAAATTAGCTTAAACGCTATGGTTATCGCAATAATCGTTAAGATGGATTTAAGTCACTTTACGAAGTTTAGCTTACAATGGTCAGTGCAAACGGCCATAATAGGTAATTGAATTAGCACACTTAGAACAATGATCAAGTTTGCAAGAGTTGTGTATTGTTTGTTACCGAGTTTTCTTATAGCAAAAATAAACGAATAATAGCAATTAAGAGTAACACAGACCCAGCCGCCCAGATATATTTTGTATCTTAATGTTTATATGATTGCTGTCATTTAAGTCATTTACTTTCTTTGAAAAAGCATTTTCAAGAATATGGTTTTAATTAAATGGTTGGAGCCTAAAAAGGTATATTATGGTGATACACTGACACTGACTGTCCGTAATCTAATAGTACTAAGAGATCGGCAATTGCATTTCCCGAAATTTATCATCACGTATAATTCATTAACAGGTACAATTGACAAACTACCAAAGAAATATAGCAAATAAGCTGTAGTGTTGTTGAAATCATCGACTGGAGAAGTTTCATCAATGGACCAGAAGAAGAAAAGGATTTGTAATAATAACATGTAGATTTGTGTTGCGTAATTTGTATTGTTTAGTTTGTAACTATACCCATTGCGTTTATTTTAACAAACTATTAGTTACTCACACTTCTGGGAGTTTACCAAACATAAACGTAGGAAATAAAATAACATTTCTACCACATTACAGAAAAAAAACACTTACCCTTCAAACTGCCGTTGTTGATTGCCCAACTTCTGAAACAAAACATAAATTAGTAAACGAAATAACAATTAAGCATAAATAATGCGTTACACATTCTATTTACAATTATAGAATGCTGTAGCTGTAGCGTAACCTGCGGTTAAAACATTTATTTTATTTTCTGTTTCTTATATTGTTTGAAGTGAATAAAATAACAGTAAAAAAATCAATTGCAAATTTTAATTGAGAGATCTGAAGAAAGCCGCGACGCCAAAGGAAGAATTTTCAGTTCCAAAAGGAGAACTGCACACTAGTGGTTGCAAAATTTTGAACCAACTGGTACATTAATTTTTTGGCTTGACAATTAATTAATTTAAAGATTTCTTTAATGCCCAAGGTAAAGAAGAACACAAGGCAACTGGTGCGATTCTCGACTAAATCTTTATTTACTCACATATAATACATCGATCTATCTATTAAATAGAGGAATTTTTCCAAATTTAGAGCATGCAATCACAGTCCACTAATCTTAAATAAAGCTACTCAAATTATAAGCGCGACTCAGACTTTTCTCTCGATGATCTTTCACTTGCCATTCTGTTGTATTATTAATTTGTTCCGTTGTCTCGTCACTTTGGCCTGCGAGGGTACCAAAGCGACTTGCAGCTGTTGCGGAACGGTCTCGTGTCGTGCGTACCTGGTAAATCTCGCTATGAGACTACCTTTATCGATCTGTTTGTTACGCCCCTGGGCGACTTGAAGAGCCAAAGCAGTCTGCTTGGACCTTTCCAAGACACGAGAGATGAACCGTTCGTCCTCGCCACCTTCCTGCGATAAATGATGCATTATCAATTGCATCTTATGGTCGTGTTGCTGTTCGAGCGATAACACACGTCGTTCGGCTTCCGATCGTACCCTCTGCAGGACCAAGCTCAAGTTTTGCACTTGATTCTGAAACGTCTCGTTCTGGTTCTCCGCCTGAATTAATTGCTGCTCTAATTTCTTGGTGCTCCCCCTCAAATCCACTATTTTCCGATAGTACTTCTGCAGAAGGACCAAAATCTCTTCATTGCTCAGCTTCAGGAGTTGCTGCTTTAATAATTTGCACACATTTTCGTCGATGCTCGTCTTGGCCCCTTCTGTGAACCCGCAAATCTTCTGATTCTTGTACTCGATTGCCAAATCGATCGCCTCAATTGCCTCCTCGTACTGCACTAATTGGGTTTCTTCGGTATCGTTGAGAAGTTTCTTGCTGTGAGCTTTTGTGTCAATTTTGTAGCGTTGCTCCAGGAGACGGTCGCGTGTTTTTCTCAGTTCTTTGATTTCGTGCTTTATGTTGTATAGATCTACGCTTGCGCTTTCGGTGAGCTTCTTCACAACGTCGGACTTAATTGTGTCTTGGCTCGAAGTTTTCTTACTTTCCCTCAGGTTGTGCTCGAGCTCCAACTTGGACTTCTCTTTTCGATGCAAACACTTTCTTAACTTTTCCAGCTGCTTTTTTGTGTCATTTAAACTACTTTCCAATTCGGAAATCGTTGCGGAATCATCCTCGGCGATGCTTCGAATGAACTCGCTTTTATTAATTTTCTTCGACAACTCCGATATTTCCAAGTCCAATTTCGATTCGAGCAGGTGGTTGTTGACAGATTTCGCTTGTTTCAACTTGGATTGCGCGACGTTTTGGTCGTTTTGCAGCTTGAGACATTTCTGCTTAAACTTCCGCCTAACGTTTACCTTCGTCTGCTTGTTCTTGATCAGTTGCTGCACCAATTTCTCTTTAACCTCGACCGTTTGCACCAACTCCTCAATTTGCTTCTCGTAACCCTCGATGTCTGCGCAAATTTGTTTCATAACTCTATCCTTCTTGGTACTGAACGTAATTGGAGCTTGATTCTGTACATTATCACACTTGAATAGCGTCGGCGAAAGTTCATCAACCGAGTGAATGCTTCCCCTTCGTCCACGTGCACCCTTCGAATGATACTCGTTATAACGACCGCTTTTGCTTATCTCTTTGGTATTGCTTTCATTGGCATTTATTCGGTTAATCGACGACACTAAACCGTCTGTTTTCACACGAAAGTTATTCATCAGGTCGATCAGATTGGGCACATCCGACTCGCTTTCACTTTCACTTTTGGATCGATCCTCAATTTCTTCCTCGATGATGTCCAACGAACGATGCGGCTCGGATGATTCACTTATGCAATCTTGACATTCTTGTTTGAGCGTTAACCACTCAGAGATTTGTTCCATTTGGGCTTTGGGTATCACGCCTGTCCCGAGCAAACTTTTAAAAAGTGACTCCGCGTTAGACACTAACTTAAACAATTGATTAGTCGCAAATTGTAGACCGAATATGTCCGAATTTTCGTACGTTTCGTACGACACGTAGGAGTTAATGGTGACAAAGTTTTTAATAAGCTGCGCCCTCTGCACAAACTGCAGTGAAGATAATGTCTCCATAAAATCGTTGACTAGTGGTGAAATGCAGCAAATGAGAAGAGTTTTTGCACGACCCCCAAACGAATCTTTGAGCAACATTGTCAGTGCAGATTGATTGTACGGCACCAAGTTCTGGTTATAAATTGTGTTGTTAAGTTCGGAAAGTATCCATACACATTTGTACAGGGTAAGTAGACCCGAGTCCGTCGGTAAATACTGGGTAAGGCCGTTACTATCCATTACGGCAACTTTCTCGGAACTAGACAAATCAACGAAGCTTGCAGTGGACACTTTATGCTGAACGCACCCGTCTACACAGAACTGCTGCTCCAATGTGACAGTGAAAAGGGTGTGAGCGTACGTTGCAATATTTGCCATTCCCACTTTTAATAAATCAAACGCATCACTTATGTTATGACATTCGGCACTGCCCGAACCTAACAAGTCGTACACGTTTTCACCGCAAATTTGTGTCCACGCTATTTGTATGAGGAAACATTTATCAGTGTCTTGATTAATATTTGCGAACATTTGACGCAAAAAACGAGGTATAATTCCGTGTTCCTTTTCACTCAGGGCACAATTTAACGTTGGCCCTAAGAGGGTGTACGATTTTCCGGTGCTCGATTGGCCGAACGTTACTATTGATACATCACAGCCCTCAAAGAAGTAATTCATTAATGGTGTTACCGTTGTTATATATAACGTATTCTGAGTGCAATCGATTGGTAATGCATGTTGCACAGAAATTGATTGGAGATTGCCGAGTTTGATGCTGTTGTTACATACATCCGGTTGTACGCACAACAAATCCTTATTGCAATACGAAACGGGACAAATACGTACAGCAGTTTCAATGTTGATTTCCATTTTAAGTTTTAAATTATAAAGAAAATTTGCGTTTAACTTTTTAAAGCGACATTTTTGTTTTTTTAATACCCCCTTCGGGTGTGTCTCCTCTACCACATTGTTTACATGTCATTTACACCAATACGGGCGCATTCACCGGCAGTGTTTTGCTGACGGATCAACGAATACGTTGACAATATACAGTGTGCAACTAAAAATGGAACAAATTCAAAATCAGGTATTTTGCGCATTTTTTGCACTAATGAAAAAATATACAGTGCGTCAAAAAATAGATTTTGATACCAAATTTATTATTAAATTCCATTTTCGCATTAATGTTATTACCTACGCATCAAATTTGACAAAGAATTCGACAATGGATTTTAAAATATGGATAAGATCTTAATATCTGATACGACCCGCGTGCGAGTCCAGCATATTAAACAGCAGAAACATATTCACCAATTTTCACATATTGTATCATAACATTGAATTTGCCTTATAAGGCCATGTAATTTTCCACCTTGCTCTTTATGGCACCAAAGATTAGTCACATCCTGTGTATTTCACCCTTTCTCAGAATCTTAGTACCTGCTTACCGGAGCCATTATTCCCCAAAACTTGTTTTTAACTTATATCATAATATAAACTTAACAGCGGAATATGAGTCTAGGAAAAAAAACCCGTGAAAAAAAAACCGGAATAAAAATCCCCGGAATAAAAACCCACGGAAAGAAAACTCCCCGGAAAAAAACCCCTGCAATGAAAACCCCCTTTTTTAAATCTCCACAATAGGTAGGTATACATCTTAGGGCGATTGTACAATGCAAGTATATTGTATACCTATAGTATAAGTTATTCCAAGTACAAAATCTGAAAATTGGATTGAATTTTTAGATTTTATACTTGAAATAGCTTATACCTAGTACAATGCGATCAAAAATGAGTTGCTGTCGAGTCATCTTTGGAATTTTTGTTTACATTGGAAATCGTACTTCACTTGAACTTCCAAAGGCGACTCGACAGCAACTCATTTTTGATCGCCCGTTATATACTTGCATTGTGGAACCGGCCCTTCGTAAAATTTCTAAAAGTGCGAACTAGTACTTCTGTTCTGTATTAGCTTGCAAAAAGCGTTGTTCAGTGACTTATACCTGGTTTCACAAAGAGTGTTAGTTAATCAATGATTATATGGTATATGATTGGTCGATTTTTGATGTTTACCAAATGACATAGGCTCAAACCAACGTTATTCATCTGTTAAATATTAACAAATGATTGTGATCTTAATCACGTTTGCGAAAACATACTTTAAATTCATTTAAAATTACACCAACAACATTTAGGTCAATTAATCCCAAAAAGAAAAAAAGCAAAATATGTACTGCTGCAGACTAAAAAATGTCGGCGAAGAATACACGCCGGACAAAGAGATGTGGTAATGGTAAACTTCTTAGAAGCTATAAGTCATAATATTAGGTTTAATTAGGGTTAATGGTAGTTTAGGATAATATGCAATTATGTATTTTGTAAAAATTGTGAAAATTTGTTAATAGAATATCCTCGAGAATACCTCAACCGAGTTCTGTTTGATATTCCTGTTTCAGTAAACAATATGCAACTTTAGCTCTCGCGCAATATTTCCTTTTTTTCCCTCTGGTCTTTCTATCGGTTTTTTACCAGGGGGTCTTTCTTTCCGTGGGTTTTTTCCGGGGGGGGGGGGGTTTCCATGGGTTTTTATTCAGGGTTTATTTTCCAGGGGCCTTTTTTCCGGTACCGGCGGAATATATCCAATGTTGCCACTGAGTACCTTCAGATCAGTACAAGGTAAAATACGGTAAATGTAATTTTATTATTTATTTTTACATAAGAGAAAACTATTTTGAATTTTTACAAAATGAAGCGATAGGTACTAATTAAAATGTCTTTTTTTTAACAAAATCTGAAGGATATTAAGTAAATCACGATCACACTTAAACTTGATATACCATTGCAACTATTGCATTTTTGACACCTCAAATCTGGTATTAACAACTTCCTCATCCGAATCAAGAACGGGTAAGGTGGGGTCACTGGTTATATTCTCCTCTAACCACTTGATGTCGTCTTCAATACTGTGGGTTTTGGGCGAGTTAGGACGCTGATGGTTTATTCGTATTTTAACGCCGTAAGCGTCATTAACCAACTGTTCCTCTTCTTCATCATCGCCCGTTTCCAATAATGGCACGAAAGCGTACCTTTGATTATTGTTTGTCGGACGCCAAAGTATCATTATTACAAGTAAAACGGCCGAAAACAAAATGTGCCAATAGGCTTCTTCTAACCACAAATCTTTCCAGACTAATAAGCAAGTTACGACGCGATGCACTTTAATTGCGTAAAGCATAAAAATAACAGAAGCCACGACACAAAATATTAACGCATTTGTAAAATGTCTATAAAGCGATAGCTTAACTTCGTTTCGCCTCAGTCTCAAAGTCCTCGTCGTATTAACGAGGGCATTAAAAATCCACCAGCAGATTGCGGAATCTAAAACTGCTAAAGGAACGGAAGCCACCAACAAATCTTTCGTTTGATTATTCTTCGGTTTCGTTATTCTCAAGTACGCTTCGCAGGCCGCCAGTAGAAAATATAAAAGCCCGACGCCGATAACGCGATGCAAAGCGGCGCCCAATCTCGGTTTTACAATCCCGAATCCTAAACTAACGATAATCACTAGCATTCTCGCCAAGGTACGCTTCGCGCACGAGACCCACTCGGCGAAGATCATCGCCCCTTGAACACGGACGCCGCTATTATTAATACTTTGAAACTCCGCGTAGAATGTCGCCTTCTCCAACATCCCAAGCAGAATGACGCCACCAATCCAAAACTGTACCCGTAATAAATCGCGCCATTGCATAAACGAAACGATCAACCATATCAAGCCGAATATTACGTATAAAATGCACATTACACCGTAGAACGGAAGCAAAGGCCAATCCGCCGCCGATAGATAACCGTAATCGTTCTTCATCTCCACGTGAACGCCCAAATTAAACGACGGACTGCTGCCCGTGACGCGAAATATTAGTACGTAAATGCCATCCTTCGGTACGATATAGATCGGATGCGCCTTCTCTAAGGACTGCTGATTCTTCTGTAACTTCGCCTCGTCCAGAATAATATGATCGTCGCATGTATAAGTGCGATCCCTTGCACGATGATATGTAGTGTCGTTTATGGTTTTATCGGACGATTCTAACAACTAAAACGGTTTTTCTCGGTCATTTACATATCTGATGAATAGATCATCGGATAGTGACTCATTTTCATACGTGAAGAGTGCCGCACATAGTGGCGATTATAAGAAATGAAATGTGCTGTGTCGCCTATATTTTTGCCTGGCTTCAGATAGCTACAGTCCACTAAAGTGTTGGCAAAATTTGAAATTTTAATTCTCGCCTTAACTCACGACTAACTTTAGCGCATTTTCCATGAACACCTGATGTTTAAATATGCAATATCTTTGCCTTTGCAAAGTATTTTGTGCAAAATAAACTTTTTTATTAGGGGCAATATGGACTGTCCTAGTGCGAAAATCATATCTGAGTTTGAGGATAATAAGTACTTAAATGCTACCCTAATTGACATTTCCATGGCATTCAACTGTGTACCTTTTACATCCTACTTCACCAAAAAAAACTAAGGCTATTATTCAAAAACATTCACAGTTTATTTCGAGAAGAACCCAAAAGTGACCTTTAATCATGATATATCATACATCAATAATTACAAAAATAGAAGTACCACAAGAATCCGTGTTAGGACCACTATTTTTTATATTTTTGAATAATATACCAAATTACAAAACAGATAATGGCAAATTACTGGAAGCATTCTCTTACAGTGAGGCATATTTTTGCTATCCAAAGAAAATGCATAGAGGTATTACTGAATACTAACTGATAATAATTCATAAGCATATGTCAAATGGCTTGTGTAAGAAGTGTAATATCCTACACATTTCAAGCTCAAACCTTCAATTAAGCCCACACTTTAGTCATATAAATTGTATCACAATAAACACAATGCCAGCATTCAGTTTCAAAGGCGTGTACAAAGAAATAAACAAAATTTTTCAACCCAAACAGGTACTTTATCAATTTGCACCACTTTTTGGGATTGCAAATGCCACCTGCAACATTAAAGACTGGTTACCCAAAGCCAGGTAATATTAATTAATCAGTTTAGTGTACGTAAGTGAAGCATGTACTCTTCAATCCTCATCGAGAATCTGTCACTATCTGACGGTCCAGAATTAAGACTTACATCCCTTCCTAACGTAATAGCGTCGGAATAATCCCAGCAAGGCGACTGAATTACTATCCACCCGATTGTTATGTTTATAGGTGTATCTTGTGTACTTTCGCAATTAACTACAGAAAAGTTATGCAATAAATGTTATTAGATTATAAATATTAGTTACCTTTGACAAAAATTTGAGAAGCGTTGTATAGACTTTTCGACACAATCATGTGATTTCCCTCCTGGAATTATAGTAGTGCCATGTTATCTAATTTGGAAAAGTGCATATGTACATACCATTGTTAAATTGTAGTCCCATTTACCCTCATCGGGCAATGCACGAACCCCATAAAATGCCAGCATGAAAATCACAATTTGGTAAGGTAACATTTTTGCGATGGTGTTTTGTATTGCGTTTAGGCATTTACATTTCACCTCATTCTAATAGTATTTGTTTATTTAAATATCATTACATTGTCATTCAGATAAATGCGTCACTTTTTTGACAGTTGCAGACACCTGGCAGCACAGACCACGCTTTTACCGGCCGGCATTTAAACACAGGCGTGGCAACAGCAATTAGAACCATAGGCGTAGAAAATCATTACGGGAGGCGAGTAAAATACAGTGAACAGTATTGCAAATACGAGATTAGCATTTATATAAAGTGCAAAATAGAAAATGGGTGTTTTCAACGCAACACGCAACATTACCGTGAAAGGAGAAAAAATAAAACGCTCTTGAATGGTATTACAGAGCTCTCTCTCCAAGAGAGCTAGTCCAAAAATTTCTTCGGAGTTTCGATTATGCAACTGGC